AACTAAGTTCCCTCTACATCCTGTGTGTCTCTACCTATCTCCTTAACATATGAAGTGGGCTTCTATTCTTTTGTACCTTGCCTCAATTTATTTTTTGTAATAATTCATTAATATTTATTATGTATTCTCATGAGTTTGTTTCTGCCCGTACTAAGAGTGGCCTGTGATTGCGTCAGCAGGCCTGTTTAGTTCTAGCGCTGTCATTTGCTGTTTACCCTTGATTAAATCACTCAAGCTTTCCTCATCCGTCATAATTCTAAAGACTTGATTAATAATATATTTGTAAGAGTTTTGTGAATTGCAATGCTGTAATGGAATGTAAGGCAATGCTCTTATTACCGGTGGTAATCTTAAGCATTCTGAGAGTGGCTGAAATCCCCTGGGACTTTGGCTTGGATAAAGGAGACTTGGTGCGAAGTCACAAAGACTGAACCCAAGTGGAACAAGTTCAAGACATGGAGACAGACCAGGCACACGTGTGGGGAAGCTTAAGAGACTTAGATCAGGCTTTCATTCATTCTCAAGAAATTATTTTACACCTTGGCTTCTTGAAATGGAAAATAGGAGCTGTCATGAGGGTTAAATTAGACAATATATGCGAAGTACATAATGTCGTTAAGATCCAAAAAATACTTCGTAAGAGTTGGCATTTGATGGCTCTGCCATTTAATATCTTGCAACTTTCTACCCGTCATTTACTGTGTTTCTTTAGTTTAAAAGTGGAATAATTGCCATCTTGCAGGAGTTTCGTCAGGTCTATATTATTATATGTAAATGTATAGCCCTTAGCACACTATTTGGCACATACCAAGTTCATGGAGTGACAACTGCTAGAGGTAGTACCAGTCATGGTGCAGCAGCAGCAGCAGTGATAGTGTCAGCATGCATCCGGCAGTGGGCTGCCACCAGAGACCACTGCAAACTATTCGGGATGACCAGGATGCACAGAGATGGATCTGCAGAGGTGAATAGAGCCTTACTATCATGGTGTGTAAACTATATTTACAGTATGGATTTTTATCTCAAAGGCAATAGTGAGCCATTTTAAATAAATAAATAAATAAAACTCATCAGATTCAGAAAGATCCCTCTGAATAAGGTAGGAGTGACTGGAGCCAGAAACAGGAGACCTATAAGAAAGTCGTTGCAAAATTTTGTGTGGGCCTTTTCTGAAGTAAGGTTAGTGACAACAGAAATCAACAGATGTAAGAGAGATTGAGGAGCTGGATTCATTAGACCTGCTGATTGGTTATATGCATTAGTGAGGCAACAGCAGGATATAAGGTTGTTGATTTGGCTGTGAAACGGACTAACAGGAAGCAGGAATTTCTCTCTTGATCCAACTCCTCTAAGTAGCACTTCTGCAGCCATATTGGGAAGAGCTACGTATTATCCTCCTTTAAAGTGTACCTTAATAAAATATTTTCCATGCTGCAAGAAATGTATTCTGTTATTAAATTCATCATAATAAAGAGTTTATGTTTTTCAGGCTTTCTGCCTGAAAAAAGAGTTAATTTTTTTTCTCTTTATATATAAAACATAAACCATATTAAAGAATGTACCTAATGAAACCACTCAGAGGTGTGTACAGTGTTCACTAAGATAGCCCCCTCCCACAACTGGTTAATTTTGATTGAGTGCTTACTCAAAGCCCTCAACAAGATCCCGGTGCACATATGCATGTATGCGTATGCTTGTGCACGTGTGTGTGTGTGTGTGTGTGTATAAAGATGAAATGCAATGGGGTAATTTTAAAGGATTTTTGAAATTTTATTTTCATTAATAGTTTTTTATTAACAAAATAATTGTTACAATGTGATTTATCAGTAAATGAATACAACTTAAAATGATTGAATCAGGATAGTTAATATACCCATCACCTCAATCATTTGTAATGTTATGTACAGTAATTTGTTGTTAACTACATTCTTCTCACTGTATTTTATAACACTAGACATTGTTCTTCTATCTAGCTGCGATTTTGTTTCCATTAATCAGCATCCTTCTATCCACCCCCAATCCTTCCTAGCCAAGCAGTCATTCTAGTTCTTTCTGCCTTTTTCCATGTAGTATTTCTCTTTCTGCATCTGGCTTATTTTACTTAAGATAATGTCCCCAAGGCTCTCTTATTTAACCTCATATGATTGAATTTTATTATTATTTTTATTTATTTATTTATTTATTTTTTGGGGGGGAGAGGTTTTTTGCTATAGGGCGCGTGCGCTCACCAGACAGACAGAGAAAGTGAGACAGAAAGCGAGAAATCACCCCCCAGGGGGGATGGTCACACCGCAATCCCTTCTCCTCCATTCTCCTCTCAGGATCTTGGGCACGCACACACACGCACCCGGTGTGAGTTTTAAGCCACCGGGTCTGGGACATGAACCACGGTCAACTACGTGGGAGTCCAACGACATAGCCATTACGCTAACTGCTGATTCCCTGATTGGATTATTTTTTTGATGGCTGCATAGTATTCCTGTGTGTGTGTATATGTGTGTGTGCATGTGACATTTTCTTTATTAATTCAATTATTTGTTAATGGACACTTTGTTTTCATTTATATATATACACACACACACACACACACACACATACATATATATGTGTATGTATATATATATTTTATTTGCTAGAGGGCACATGTATTCAACAGAGAGAAAAAGAGAGAGAGAGAGAGGAAAAGTGAGAAACTACCTTCTACCTTTCATGGGATATAGTCACCCCTCAATCCCTTCTCCTCCCGTTTCTCCAGTCAGGATTTTGAGCATGCATGCATGTGCATCTGGCACATTTTTCAAGCAGTAGGGTCTAGTCTAGAACCACATTGTCAACCACATAAGATCCAGGTGCCTTAACCACAATGCCACCAGCAGGCCCTGTTTCCATATCTTGGTGATTGTGAGTAGTGCCATGATAAACTCTGGGGTGCTGATAACCTTGTAACATACTGATTTGCATTGGATATATGCCTGGTGGTGAGATTGCTGGATCATATGGCACAACTATTTTTAGTTTCTGGAGGAGTCTCCATATTGTTTTTCATATTGGTTGTACTAATTTACACTCCCACCAACAGTGTGAAAGAGTGCTCCATTGTATGCATACTTGTCAGCATTTGTTATCTGTTTGTCTTTTTTTTTAAGCTTTGTTTTGTTTTGTTTTGTTTTTGCCATAGGGCATGTGCACTGGCAGGAGAAAGATAGAGACGGAGAGAAGGAAAGTGAGAAATCACCTCCTCCCTAGGAGGGATGGGCATGCCATAATCTCTTCTTCTGCATTCTCCTCTCAGGATTTTAGGCATGCATGTATATGTGCCCAGCGTGATTTTTAAGCCATGGAATCTGGGACAGTGAGCCATGTGGGAATCCAGTGCCTTAACCTCCATGCCAAATGCTGACTTCTGTTTGTCTTTTTGAGAATAGTATTCTAACTGAAGTGAGATGATATCTCATTTTGGTTTTGGTTTATGTTTTCCCAATGATTAGAGCTACAGGGCATTCTCTTTCCATACATTTATTGACCATTTGTATATTTTCATTTGAGAACCACTTAATCTAGTTTGTTGTTATTGGTTGGTTGTTCATTGCCACAGGGCACAGGCTCTCTCTGGAAAGAGACAGAGAGAGAGGAAAAATGAGAAATCATGTCCCCACCAGGGAGGATGGCTTTGCCACAATCCCTTCTTCTCCATTCCCTTTCTGGATTTTGGGTACACACGCACACACACCCAGCATGTTTTTCTAGCTGCCAGGTCCAGTACTCGAACCACAGAGTTGGTCATGTGGGATCTAGTGCCATAACCACCATGCCATCTGCTAGTCCCATTTGCCCATTTAAAAAAATTGAGTCATTTGTTTTTTTGTTTGTTTGTTTGTTTTCTGCTGAGTTGAATTCCTTGTATATTCTGGTTATTAATCCCTTGTTAGATGGTTAGTATGCAAATATTTTCTCCTATTCCGTGGGTTATCTCTTCACTCTGTTGATTGTTTTCTTTGTTGTGCAGGATTTTAGTTTGATATATTTCCATATGTCTATTTTTGCTTTTTGTGTTTTGTGCTTTTGAGGTTGTATTCAAGAACTTTTCACCCCTACCAGTGTCCTGAAGTATTTCCCTATGTTTCTTTCTAGCAGCTTTATAGTTTCAGTTTTATGTTTAAGTCTTTAGTCCATTTATCACATTCATTTTCTGTCTTCCTAGTCTAGTGTAGTTCCTCTAGGAGATCTGGAAACAATGCTTTTCTATGAAAGGCATAGATACAATGCTTCCAAATGTTGTGTTCTGTTCCTTATTTGATTGAGAAGAGGAATATATTTTAAGGACGCATCCAGACATGCAGAGAGAAAGCTGACTTTAGTTAACTACCATATCAAATGTGTGACTTCTAGAAACACCTAGAAATAATAGAATTCGTGATATAGATAGAAGTATCTTTTTCTCAACATGAAAAAGAGACAGACTTAATTATAGAGAACAGTCTAATTTATTGTATTTGTAGCTGATGGATGAGGAAAAGTCCAGAGATTTTTTGTGCCATAAACTGTCACCTCTGACCATGTATTTTTACCACACTATGAGAATAATTGATCTAAATCAACCCTTCACTTGATTGACAGGAATAAGTTCTTGTGGTCTACTAATAAGATAATCTTTTTTAAAACGTACACCCAGCAAGTGGGAAACCAAGGAGAATCTTATCACAGCTGAATGAGGCCAAGGATAGGGAGAAATAGAGAAATAAACCTATTCCCAATAAAGGAAGGAAATAAGTTAGCCAAGAAAAACAAACATTGGATTTAGTTTTTAAAGATCTTAGGGGAAGAATAAAAGTATTTTTGCTTAAATACTTTAACAGAATTTCATATATGAGAAATTTTGCCTAGAATGTAGTGTATATGTATATTGTATACCCAAACATGCATTTACTTTTAGCAAAGCTTTCCTCAAATTTTTCTATCTTTAGACTGTTTTTATTCATTGGTATTTGTCTTATTTCCAGTGTACTCCAAAGTGTGGCCCAGGCTTCAAGCATCGGATTGTTCTGTGCAAGAGCAGTGACCTTTCTAAAACATTCCCAGCTGCACAATGTCCAGAGGAAAGCAAACCTCCTGTCCGCATCCGCTGCAGTTTGGGCCGCTGCCCTCCTCCTCGCTGGGTGACGGGAGACTGGGGCCAGGTAATGTGGTTGGACTGCGAACTGCTGTTGAGTCAGCATCTTTAGACACAAATCAAGGTTCCTGACTTTTCACTCTAAGATCTCAAGAGATGAGAAGCAATTAATGCATAGAAGTCTGAGTATGAGGTATGAGTGTAAAATACTGCACCACCACCACAGCCACACAAGGACATATACACACTTAGTCATGTTTCTCCCATTCCTACATACTTCCCACTTTTACCTGCTGTTTGGATCCTGCCACTTTAAGTTAAAATTAGAAAAAAAAGTTCACATGCCCTAAGGCAAAAAACAAACTAACAAAAAATCTCTAAAAAAATTTAGGAAAGAAATACAACCCAGTCCCATAGCCTTGTGGTTAAGGGAGCTAGATCCCACATGGCAAACTGTGGTTTGAATCCTAGCCCTGGTGGCTTGAAAAACATGCTGGACACGTTTGCATCTGTGTTCAAAATCTCTAAAGCCTGGAGAAATGGAGAAGGGATTGTGGCATGACCATGCCCCATGGGGTGATATTTTCTCTCTCTTCCTCTCTCTCTGTTCCTGTCTCTCACTCTGGCCAGCACATGCCGGCAATTAAAAAATAATCATTTTTGACTGACCCAATGGCCTAGTGATTAAGGGACCCACATCCCATGTGGCCAACAACCTCTAGTGGCTTGAAAAGCACAAACGGCATATGTGTGTACCTGTCCCAAATCTCGAAAGGGTGGAGGGATGGAGAAGGGATTGCATTGTGACAATACCCCACTGGGGATCCTCTTTCTCTGTCTCTCTCTGTCTCTATAGCAAACATTAGTGTGTAATTAAAAAAAAATTCTAAAGAGAAATAGTTTAGATGGCCCAAGATTTGCACCAGCTGTCCTGACTTCTAGTTCCAGCTTTCTCAACTGATTCAAGAAAAAGTTAACAGTGGTGTCTTAATTTTTCACTTGTAAAATGGAGATAATTCTTCTTAATCTCATAGGAAGTCATGGAGCTTTTAATTAGTTTGATAACGTGATTGGCAGACAGTCTTTGAAATATTATAAATATTTATTCTTTAATTGATTACTTTTCCTCTGATGAACATTATGCACTGGGAAACCAGTGTATGGGCTTTTTGGATGTGGTTTTTTTTTTTTTTTGAGAGGTTTTTGCTATAGGGCGCATGCGCTCACCAGACAGACAGAGAGAGACAGAGAGACAGAAAGTGAGAAATCACCCCCCAGGGGGGATGACCACGCCGCAATCCCTTCTCTTCCATTCTCCTCTTGGGATCTTGGGCACACACGCACACATGCCCGGCATGAGTGCCACCGGGTCTGGGACGCGAACCACAGTCGACTACATGGGAGTCCAGTGACATAGCCATTATGCTAACTGCTGGTCCTCAGGGATGTGTTTTTACATTAGACTCATTTCCATTTTAGGTTCCAATTATTGTTTTATTTTCTTCTTTATCATGTACTTTCAAATTATGTGATCTTGCTATAAGTCACCTTAAATCCTATAAAAAACAAGTTTGTTTTCACCACAAAAATTAAATTATGAGATAGTACACATATTAATTATCTAGATTTACTTACTCCATAATGTTTATATATTTTGTACATAAGTACTTTGAACAGAATGTATATAAAATATTGTACATAGGCACACTTTTACCTGTTAATGTTTAAAAAAATTTTAATAGAAAAGTTGATAGTTTTCAAAAAGTTCATAAAAAATGTGTATTACAAAACTATACATACATTTCAAAATAAACTCATACTTTAATGACATTTTCCCACAAACTTTTTGAAGTTCTCCCATACTTAGATGGAAGGAAAATTAAGTATTGATTTTCTAAATGTCAGAGAGAAAATCTATTAAATAAATTAAATAATAAGACACTAGAAAGTAAATTTCTAGCCAATCAATGCCCTTATCTTGTCTAATTTATAGATACTCATTTTCTAATTTCTGAGACCCAAATAAGTCCTAATGGCATGTTACTTTGTGCACTGAGTCCGCCATTACTTCATCAAAAGCACAGTTGTCCATGTAAGATTATTCAAACTGGCGTTTCACAGAAGTAGTTACCAAAACTCTGGTCAAAACCCAAGATTGCTGGAATATAGCAGTATCTACACCCCTTTTATTTCATTCGGAATGACACTAAGATGTCCAGTACCCATTAAGGTCAATATATGAATATACTTGTTCTGGGCTCAGCTCTGGAGACAGCCAAAAGAAATATTCCTGTGAAATAATAAAGGCTTTGCATCTGTGTAGCAGTATTTAGTTTAATTTACAATCATTTCTATGGCATACATATGAGAAGGTTAAGCACTACATGCGATGAAGTCTCTAAATATTTCAGTGTGTGTGAGTTTCATAACACGTAGTAGGCATTATACTATTAAAGAATCAATACAGATTTGCTCTCATGGTTTTCATTTTAAACCAGATGGACATTTCCTTCCTTATGTATTTCTTGTTGTGATGCACCGTTACATAAAGGTCAGTTGAAAGTTTATGTATGTTAGTGAATTCATCAAATTTATAATTTGAGATTATTCTTTTAAATGTTTGAAGTCCTTTTCCTTATTTTTAACCCATATATTTTTAACCCTGTTTCTTAAAATTCAAAATAACCATTAAAAATACCTTTTCAAAGATATTTTAATACAGTCCTATAGTGCATTTATTTGTCATTCTGTATTAGAAAGTTTTTGAAAAAGTGTCTTTATGAACATCCTTGCTAATCCTGTGGGTGCTTTGAGAGTTTTTGCAAACAAATCCAACAGGGCTTCAATTTGTTTACCTTGTAAATATCACCATCCCTTGTCTTGGCACTAGTTAGCTTCTTACTCCTTTGAACCCTGACTCTCACAGGGCTGTCTGGTGTTCTGAATGGCAGGCTGAAAGAGTAGACCCAACTGTCTTCTTCAGTCTGGACAGCTGAACAGCCCTAGTTGAAACAGTTCTCAGCCAGTAACTTCAATCCTAAAGTAACTGAATCCCTGAGGAGATCAAAAAGGAGAGGGAAATAAAGCCAAGGGCCAGCACCCCCTCTCTTTTCAGGTTTGTGTGGCCGACAAAGTCCCTATTTAAACTCTTTGTTTAAAACAGACACTATCACCAGGCCCACAGCAGCTCTGGACTCATATTTCGATCAGTTATAAAGCTCTGCAATCAGCCACCACATTCTGTACCTGCATGTCTGTAATAAACAGGAGCAGTAGTGAGACTCTGATCACTCTATTTCAGCATGAGGATTTTCTCATTACGATTTTGTTAGAGCTCACCAGTCTTGCTTGGAATTACTGGAGTGACCATCTAGAAACTTCATCCGTTGTCTCTAGCAACTGCTGGATTGTCAGGAAAGTCATTATGCGTAGTAAAATATATCATGACTTTCCTGGCAGCCTAATATATTACTTCTGTTTGCTAGAGTAATAATGTAAGTGACCTAATTATAATACTTCTCAAAGATAAGCCACATTTGGGCTTTGAAAGTACTACGTGTGGGGACCAGCACTGTAGCCTAGTTGTTAAGGTAGCCGGATCCCACATGGCCAACCCTAGTTTGAATCCCAGCCCCACCCCAGCAGCTTGAAAATGACTCAAGGTGCATGTGCTTGCATGTCCAAAATCCCCACAGGGTGGAGGAATGGAGAAGAGATTGCAGTGTGACCTCACCCCATTTGGGGGTGCTTTCTTTCTTCTTTTCTCTTGGTCTCACCATCTCTCTCTGACAAGCACATGTGCCCTCTGGAAATTAAAAATAAAAAAAGGTTAATATGTTTGGAATTTGAAATAACAAAGTATCTTTTTTATTTCCTGAAAATGGATGAGATTAATATTTTGTTTCTCTTTGTCTTTGGTCTTAGTGTTCTGCTCAGTGTGGCCTTGGACAGCAAATGCGAACGGTGCAGTGCCTCTCCTACACTGGACAGGCATCTAGTGACTGTCCAGAAACCGCTCGGCCTCCATCCATGCAGCAGTGTGAAAGCAAATGTGACAGTACGCCGATTTCCAATACTGAAGGTGAGTTCTCTATGGAGAAGGCATTTGCGGTCTGCCCTGTACTATCTCCAGGATTTGAAGAGCCCCATAAAACCACTGCTGAAGTATAATTTGTGTAAATCGTTTGTGAAAGCTATGTATGTGGTAGAACGTAATCAGGAAACCTGAATTTTTTTCCTTATTTTTTTATTAACTGTGTGACCTTGTTAAGACCTCTCTGGGACCAGCAGTTAGCATAAAGGCTATGTCGCTGGACTCCCATGTAGTCGACCATAGTTCAAGTCCCGGACCCAGCTGCTTAAACTCACGCCAGACGTGTGTGCATGTGTGCCCAAGATCCCGAGAAGAGAATGGAGGAGATGGGATTGCGGCATGGCCATCCCCCCTGGGGGGATGATTTCTCGCTTTCTGTCTCTCTCTGTCTTTCTGGCAATCACACGTGCCCTGTAGCAAAAACCTCTAAAAAAGTAAAAGGGAAAAAAAGACTCTTTACTTCTCTGAGCTAAGTTTACTTATTTATAAAAAGAGAGATTGGAGTAGAAAATCTGTAAGGCCATGTCCAGCCTACTACTCTATGTTTGACTTGTACAAGGACTCAAGAGATTATTTTAATGAATCACTCTTTGTTTTTTTAGAGATTTTTGCCATAGGGCATGTGTGCTTGCTGGGGAGAGAGACACACACAGTGAGAAGGAAAGTGAGAAATCCCCCCAGAGGGGTAGCCACGCCACAATCCTTTCTCCTCCATTGTCCTCCAGGATCTTAGACGAGCACACAAGCACATGTCCCCAGTGTGAGTTTTAAGCCAGCGGGTCGAGGACTCGTATTGCATTCGACCATGTAGGAGTCTAGTGATTTAACTGCTCCGTCATCTGCTGGCCCCTAATAAACAACTCTTAAAGAGAAAACTTACATTTCTTTTTGGTTATGACAATGGCCTCTACCATCACAAAGATTAAATTTATGCTTATTATAGATAATGAAAGTATAAGTTTAAAATTACTTGTGTCTTAAAATAGTAATTTTCTTGTAGAAAGGTAGAAAAAATAATTATGGAACTATTTATAAATAAGGACAAATATCTCTGTGATCCAAAATGTCTTTTCCTTTTCTTAAAAATAAATATTGGGGAAAAGCCCTTTACTAACAGCAGATTCCAGTCAAAATCTTGAATTTTCTTATCTTTAATTAACGTACTTCTTTAGTCACTTAAACGTTCATTCCAAATTTCTTGACTGCTACTATGTGCATGACAAAAATGATTAGGCATGTGGCATATAAACAGGGCATGTTCAGGAACTTCAGACTGCCTTCTCATGGAAAAGTAGAAGCATGATTGAATACATGCACATGAGCATCTGAAGCCACAATTTTAAATTATGTTAAAATCAAACAACCCCTAACTATAGGGCCTTGCTTAAAAGAATAAAAACTATCATGAATATATAATCAAAATAATTTGTGAATATTTTTCAAGTGAAAATTATATGTTTATAAACCTATTCAAAAGAGATCTGGTCTTTTTGATTAGATCTGTCCAGTTTGAAGCATTTTCCAAAATAAGATTTATTCATGATTTTAAAATCTTTCCATACAAATTTTATTTTAGGAAGAACTATAATCTTGTATGACAGGAATGCAGAGACCTTACGTCTTTGCAAATTGCCTATTGCTTATATCTGATATGATTATCGTATGTGTAATTTACTCTTTCAAAGAAGTGTATAGTCTTTTCCCACATTAATTCAAAATCAAAACTCTAGTTTGCAAAAATCTCTAGTTCTAATGGCATCTACTTCTTGTTGTGTTCCTTTGGTAAGAGACATTCTGAAAATCTAGCTTTCTCTTTCTCAAGAAGTCAAAGTCTATGAGAAATAGAAGTGTTTCACTTTTTAAAAAATGTATCTTTAAGTGCTCTAAATTTAAAAATATGTCTTTTCTATATGACTGCAGCAAATGACCTTTGTAAGTTATTGTTATTAACAATCAATCACAGGAGTTTGGGAATCTGTTTTATCTTTCACAATTGGAAGACACAAGGTTAAGACGGGAGTGAGGATTGAATTATAATATTAACAACTAATACGATAATTACTATAAAGGGTCTATATACATTAGACCCTTCGTATTTATCTATTTTATATCGCTCATGTACATAAGTACATCTCTTTTGTGTATATGTGCATATATCTTATATCATCTTGACAACAATCTTCTGAGAGTTGGCATTACTGATGAGGAAACTGAGGCACAGTGAGAGATAATGACTTATCCAAACCACAAGACTAGGAAGTAGCAGAGTCAGGATTTGAACCTAGATTTAGCAGAACACAAGAGCATGTCAGTTTCAACTACATGCAGTTCTTTTCTTTCTTTATTCATTGATAGAGTGTGTGCATGTGTGCACACATGAGAGAGAGAGAATTTAGACATGCTTAGGGAAATTAAATGCATTAGGCCCTCAAAGCCACAACACAATAATTAAATTTAAATAAGATTTTTAAAATAATATAATAAAAGGAGACAGATAGAAGAAATGGAGGAAGGTTAAAGCAACAAAAGGTAGTAAGAGAAAATCAGAAGCAAGGTGTCAAGAAAAAAAATAGTAAGAGGAAACTTGGAGGAGGATACAGGGAGATACGATTTTCTGCGTTCTACATGTGCTTTAGTCTCTGTTTCCGAAAGCCCCAGTGAATGTTGAAAGCAGGATAGACATAATCCTGACAGACTACTGATGAGTCACACCATGTTGCAGCTGAGGATGGGTTTTGGCTGCACTGGAAATACTACTTGGGATCATTTAAAGGTTTTTTTTTGTTGTTGTTGTTCATTTGAGAGAGAGAGAGAGACCCTCAAACAGGGTCTCATCATACCACTATCCTCTCTGCAGCCTTCCAGCCATCCAGGATTTGCTGAGCACATTCAGGTTGAGCAGAGAGCTGAACCCTGGGCCTGCCTTCTCATATGGCTGCAGTATCACGCAGCTGTATCCTTCTGTCTGTGCCACTGCAGCTGGGCCAGCACAGTGTTTTGAAGTACATGAGGCAGCTGAGACTAGCCTATTTGATCTTACCTGAAAGTCTATTCAAAATGCCATTTTATTTATCTTTTATACAGTTCCCTTGTAGTTTATATGGTGAGTCTTTCCAGCTTTCCAATAGCACAAGGTGCTCTCTCATCTAGTATTATTGCTGCCAAGTAGTGATTCATGGTTTGCCATGAGCTGGTGACCAATCCAAAAAAGGCATGGCTAGTGTACATTGGTTTACCAGCCAGGATGTCTAATGGTGGCTTTGATGGGTCTCAGTCCTTTCAAGTAAACACCCACTGGAGAGCCTAGGCTGCACCAGAAGTCTCATACCCAAATCCCTAAACCTAAACTTAGGTTTTAATGTGGAATCTGACTATTAAAATCAAAGGAATGATAAAAGTCATTTGAAGGAGCTGAAGAAGACCAGTTTTTTTCTTTGCCACTTCAGAAGCTCATACCCATTAGCATTCAGGTTCACATTCTTGGCTGTCTGGTTTGGAGGAGACCCTGGATTTGGATTGAGATTATACTACCTAGAGGATGGAGGTGGGTGGCATCAAGGGAATAAGACTGGGTAAAGGACTGAGGCAGCAAAGAGAGAAAGGAATGGGTTAGTCCACAGTAAAATAAAATTAGAATGAAGTTCAATAGCTGTCTCAAGGGTAAAAAGAAGTGGGTAGATTGCTCCCATTGTGATGAATGATATTAAGTTCCCAAGCCAAGCTGACTGCATCCTTTTCTAGCCTGAATTTGTAGGGTCAAGAGCTTCGGTACAACTTTAGCAGGAAAAGTTCACTGAGTACATACCCCCACCCTAACTCCTGCACCATGCATCTGCACACACAGGCCTTCACCATCTCACCGTGCTGGGCTCTGCGTTGTCATTGTCAGGGCACAGCTGTTTGTACTTTTTTAGGACAAAAGATAGACCCTTTCGTGCTTTAATAATAACTCTTCACTGACTATGTCATCCTGAATCTGATCAAGAGCTTATGACATAGAGGATATGGATTCTCCAGAGAGACATGAGAAAGGAGTTGAATGGTCCAACCTGGTGGAGGCAGGATCCGTCCCTGGGTATTCTAATCAGTCTTGTAAGACACATAGGCAAGCTTTCCAACATTTCATGAAATACATACAAGAATAGAGCCTTTGAGCATTTGATCCTGTATTCTGTGGACAAAATCAAGCCTTCAAAGTCACACTGAATTCGAATCAAGTTACATCCTAAATTCATAAACCTCTGTTCAGTATGAGAATTTTGACAAAATGTCTTTTAGGTCAGGCTTTTGAAAGATTAATGTGAAGTACTGGGGAAAAACTCATTTGAACATCAGCGATAACATGTGATAATGATTCATGTGTTACCCACGAAACAGGTTGTCTAATTTTGTCATTCAACTCTACCAAAACCCAAATTGCTCATGAAAATCACTGCAGCATACCTGGCAAGTTACTTTAGCATCCTATAATCTAGTCTGTATAACCTAGTTGATTGCAGTACCTGGGGGATGGCTGCCAGCCCTTGATGTAGTCCCAGATCTTCCTGAGGAGAATTTGGAAATACTCCCTAAATTGTTCTTTCCACCAGAAGTCTCTGTTCTTAGGTAAAGTGCAACTATTTTTTCAGGGGTGGGATGAGGTATAAAAGAGGAGAGATTCATTAGATACACAAAAATGTTTCCTAGAAACCAGCGAAACCTCTCACCCTTCTAATATCCTGATGAGAAAAAAGGATAGAAAGAATGATTGTTATTCTCCTCCCAGGAGCACACTTAGCTCATATGTGATGATAGCAGAAAAGAACATCAGGCTTTGTCTTCAAGTCCTTGACCTTCCTGGCTCGAATCCCACTACTTTAGGTACAGTAGACATAAGTGTATCTGCATGAAGAAAATATGATAGGAATAATCAAGTCTTCCAAGCAGATCAACTTCAGAGTGGTAATGCTACTAAGAAAATTCTTCTTAAACTAAATTAAAAGAATTCC